TTTTCATGCATTCGTGTGGACGCTCACATTTATTTTACGTCTCCGTCTTTACGGCAAACGTTTTGGAAAATATCAGCGTTTCGTGTTCGTTTTGACTTCATGTGGACGGGGCCTTAAAAACATTTCAATTAGAGTAAAAAATTGCAGGGTTGAATGTAAAAAAAAGTCTTATCAAACAAACTTTCGCGACCCCCATGCAGTACCTCCATGGACCCCCTAGGGGTCACGGACCCCCTGTTGAAGACCTCTGCTCTAGAGGAATCAATCAGTACTCAATCTTGAACCCGTAACCACTGTTCTCTGTACCTTCAGACATGCAATGTCTAATTCTTTACACCAGAGGGGGCTATAGTCTAAGAAAGAAAAGCTTCACTTTTATCCATGAAGAACTAAGATAATTACACAGTTACAATATGATTGTATTTCAGAAAATACCAGAAGTTTTTAATCCAGCTAAGTGGAAGTAGGTTTTCATAAGTCTTGAATGACTTTGTAAATGTCAACTTTTTTTTTAAATAATTAAAAAAAATAAGAATCAAGGAACACTTTTCATTGGCTGAGCATTAACAGCTTTATTGGGAGTCTGCTTTGGTAACCTCATTTATTCTGTTGACATTACAGACTCCAAACCTGACAGCTAATAATAGATGCACAGGTCAGACTTAGTGTGACCTCACAGGAAATGAGATCAAACGCAGGAAAAAGAAAAAACCTTCTGCACTCACCCTCTTCCTCTCTCCATCATATCCCAGACGTAGCTCTGGCAATCCTCTTAATCCACACGTCTGTTTGTAATGCATGCCTGCTACATTCAAGCTTCTCACAGTAACGCTTGTGTCTGATTAAGTGGATGCGTCCTCACGGCGCTGCGTGTGTGTTCACAATCCCAGGTGGTTTTCTAAGTAGTTCATTTACCAAGAAAGCCACCCTGAGCAGAGGCTGCTGAATACAAACATGTTAGAGATAATAAACACAGACACCAGAGTCAGAACCGATTCTGATCCTCAACGGCAGATTATAGTTTTAGATATTATTGTAGA